GGAGTTGCTGCAAATAAGAAACTAGTTGCTGCATGTTAGACAACAAGTTGGGATGCTACGTCTGGTGAGTCCACAACATTTGACGGCTAAATGACGAAAATCACGTGGTAAATAACGAAAACTGGAGGAAATTGGTTAACCATCGAATGGATTGCCTTGACGTTTTCACATATCTATTTCCAAGTAGCGCGGGATGAGCTTTAAGAAAAATCAGCATCAAATCTTAAAAACTCATCGAGTAAATGTTTTTTTACTAATTGTCGTTGTAAACCTCAAAAATGAGAGTTTTGCAAAGAATCCCATTTTCGCCGTTTTCTTCAAAACGGTTCCAAGTTTTTTCTTCAAACTTTCTACATTATCTAGATGGTAGTAAAATTTCTACAGCTCGTCCTATCCAAATTTTGGAGAAAACGTTTTTTAAAGCGTAGTCGTAAATCCTTCGTGCTGCCATACGACGGTTCAGCATTCTGTCTGGAAGTATGGTCTCCGGTTAATACTCAATAATAATAATAAGATGGGATCCAAAGTAACACTAAGGACTAATTGTTTTAGTCAATAGTAGTAGGTCATCCAATAAGAATGCAACATTGATGATAGACCACTTTTTGGATTTGACAATTTTGAAGTGATTATTGGTGGAATATTTTCCAAGTCGCGAGGTGAATATTCATTAGACTCTTCCACAGTCTCTCGCTCGTCGGTTCCGTCACCACGCTTAGAGATTGTAACGGTACAGTGACCGAAAGGACTTATGGGTCCCGAAAACTTGGACCCGGCGTGCTTTGGGAACCAAAATACTCGTCCACAATCTCTTTCGTTTTCGCCGCCATCTTGGAAATATTGGAACGAAAGAGACTGTGGACAAGTATTTTGATTTCCAAATCACGCTGGGTCCAAGTTTTCGGGACCCGTAAGTCCTTTCGGTCATTATACCGTTACAGAGCTCCGTTACAGTCTCTAAGCGTGGAGACGGAACGGACGAGCATGAGACTGTGGAAAAGTGTAAATATTTACCGGCAATGATCACTGAGCCTGAGGGAGATGATTGCTTTAGTATAATCTTATAGACTTGGATTTCAGAGAAAAGACGAAATTCAGGTCAGAAAAAAAAAACGTTTTAGTATTAACTTTCGCTCTGGCAATTTTTGGGAAACCATCACTCGAGCAGTGATTATCGTCACAGAATCACTGTTCTCTCGACCAATCACAGCGCGAGAAACTCCATATTCGAGTCTAAAATTATACTGTGTATTAGCGTAATAACTATTTCACGGGTTTAGCGGCTTCGCTCTATAGGGCAAATAAAAATACACTACAAAAGTTATTCAAAGGAAGGTTTATTCATTCAGTGCGCGATATGTTACAAAGGAATCAGGTCACGTAACAGCTACGCCATCACGTGGTAGCGATCACATGATCTTAGCAAAAGTAATAGAAAGTGAAAGAAATTCCCACAATATTACCTAGTGCTCGCTTAGTGCAGTAAACGAAGAAAAGTAGATAAAGAAATAGCCATAATATTAATTTAAGGGTAATCAAAAGTCACTGACATTGGACTTAGGTGCAACAAAAATTTGAAAAAGAAAAAGGACCTTGTGCCGCAGACTAAGTCGATGGAACGATTGCTGTGATCTCGTGTTTGAAACCTCTAGTCCAAAACACTAGACAGATCTCAGGTATTCCGAAGGACTTCAAACAGCAGACCACTGTCAACATGTTTTCACGTGGAAACGTTGAGTTTTGGTTGATGGGCAGTCACAAACAGGTCGATCCATCGGCTGCTCGAGCAAGGAACATCAGGGTTTAACTTGAATAGATCCTTGATTTGAGCAGCAATTAAGCATAGTCAGTCTTCCCTCTTACCGCAAACAGCCTTGCATGAAATAGTGACAGTGGGGGGGGGGGGGGGGGGGGGGGGGGGGGAGAGTGTGGGGCAAATCTAGATGCCTTGCACAAAATGTTTTACGTAGAGGCGGAGGACGGGAAAATTAACACACAAGCAGAGCACTGCAAGTAGGGGACTGACCAAGCGCTAATGCAATAAGCTATAGCTGGCAGAGCGACTCTGTACAAGTATGGCAAAAACTTAGACCGTATAAGGAGAGAATTTGATTACTGAAGTTGTGCAAAAATAAGGAACGTTCAGTCGATCGATTTATCTTGACATTATCGTTTGGAAATCAGACTCGGAAAAAGTTGAAATTCACACTTTTCTTGCAAGAACGGGTCTATAACAGTTTTTCTCCACACTCGTACAAGTTGATTGCGTCATCGTGATTGCCATAGAAACGACACCACGTGACCTGATTTCCCAATAAGGCACGAAGACACATCCTGTTAAGAACTGGTACATTATACTAGGTGACCAAAAAGATACAAAACTCTTCCAAACCTTTCTTACTTACATACAGCTTTTCTGTTCATTTATATATATATTACTGATAAAATTCTTATAAAGACTTCGTTTTGTATGTTTTTAAGCCTTGGAGATTCTACTTGTATTCTTCATTCTGTTTCTGCTATTAGTACATTCTAAAGACAAACATTATTGTAACTACCCTGCGAGCAGTCTCCTTTTTTCGCCCGTAGAGGAGTTAAAAGGAGACTCTGCTCGCAGGGTATATTGTAACACACTTTTTTACAAAACATAGAATATCCTCTGACTATGTATAAAATCTAACAACTCAGTGTAAAAAAATCATCTGCTTTGAATTTAGCAGTATTAATATTATTCTCAATATTATATTATGCATTCATTTGTAAGGAATGATCTCTACATTAAACTATACTACAAACTTGGATCTCTTCATAAGATAATTAGTTCAGAAGGCCCACCAAATCATGATGAGAAAAATCATTATACAAAGTAATTACCGAAAAATCATGTGTAAATTAAGGATACCTCAATCAGACAACAAAATTGTACGTTATTGTTAGAGCACACTTCTTATGAATATGAAAAGCTGGACATTAACCAATGAAGCCAGCAACGGTTGATATTGCTGGTCATGATCCCATCCAATCAAAGTCATCAGGCAAGCCTGTACCTTTTCAAAGTCATGAGAAATTTGCTCTTTATTGAAGTTACGAGAGGCGGATCCAGCAAATTAACAAAAGGGAGAGAAGCGTGATTTGGCTGTTTGAGTTCCAAATAAAGCCACCTTAGAAGAAATCCTTCAGGCTAGAAGGCCTTGCTTCTCCCCTACTGGATCCCCCCTGGTTATCATACAAATTAACATTACCCCCCCCCCCCCCCCATTAAAAAACAGTGCAATAAAGCATTGTTCATATCAAAAGGAAAGACATGAACTTGAACAATTCCATATCATGATGTATAGACCTATACAAAGCTGGGTCGAACATGATCAAGGGAACAGGTCAAGAACAGTCCATCAAGTTGTTCAGACTAGTACTGTGACCTACAATGATAATATCATCGTGTTGATCAGTATTCTATCTATTCTATGTATTCAAAACACTATGTCCAAACCACTTTACATGGTTTGGTTAAATACCGCACTATAATCAAGATACTTTAAGATGTCTGTCTGTTACACCCCTTAAATACCAACACCACTGATTGAGCATGCCTGGGTGTGGTAAGCTACTCATCAACAGAGAGGCACACTGTTTAGTAGATATTGCATTGTGCACCCTCACCCGTCCCCTAGGTAAAGGTCATCATATAACTTAACAAAATAGGTCAGGCTTAGCTATGTTATGTTCTCTAATAAAACACGGCTGAAGATGTAGGGCACAAAAAAAGCTATAGAAACCACGAGGAGGTGGAGGAGAGAGTGCAAAGCTAAAATCAATGTAAAATCTTTTCACCAAGATGCACAATGCGTCGGTGTCACTACATGACATAACAGTGTGCCGTTCTGTAGTAATCTGATCGTATGGTTGTCTTACAAACACACACCAGTAGCTACAGCACAGACAAGAAACAATAACTCTTTGATAAAAAACGAATGCCAAATATGATAGATATCTGCGTCTACTTTATAAAAATCATGTCAAATAATTCGTTTGATACTAGAAAGGTGTGTAAGAAGTGCGCAGTACAAATAATCATTCTTTCTCTACAAACCATCGTTTAACTATATTTTCTATAAATAATATACACATCGAAAATTTATAATAAAGCGCACGATATATTGCTTATCTTAATGGTTGTACTTGATAAAAGATCAATCGATAAATCAATAGTGCATGGCATTCTTGTTCCCAGGACACGCGGCTGTTTAAGAGCTATTCTCGTTCCCAGACCCTACTCATTTGGTAGGCTACGGTTTGGCTGAGTAGGGTCTGGAAACGAGAATGTCAAAGAGCCAAATGTAGTATACACCTAAATTTTACTTTTGGTAGGTTTTTTTATTGACCCAACAGCGACGAATACGAGTATCAACTAGGCTCCCTGGGAACGTAATGATTTTTTGATTGCACAGACAGACAGACAGACAGTCGAAGAAGAGACTGAGGACCTGCCCCTAAAACTACAAAATATTTTGGTTTTAACCGAAATGCCACATGTTAATAGGGAAAAGCACTTCTAACAATTACAGCAGGTTCTTTTTTATGGTTGTATTCCAGTGTTACTGCAATTGATATTTAATTTATTCAAATTTCTTTCATTAAATCACGAAGAAAATAGTTTCATTCTATAAAATTTTCCACGAAAAATATTCAAATATTCTCTTCTAGAGCTCACATTTTTAAAACACCTAATTTACGGGAATAATACTTTAAGACGATTCATCGTCCCAAGAGTGAGGTTTTCTCCTCTAATATTATCACGTTATTTCCAGACATGCATCCCAGATTCATCGAGGCTATTAAACGTGTGCCTTATTATTTTTCTGAAATTCGAATCAGTCTAAAGACTGGTTTCTCGCTAAATAAGGAAGATGTAGGACAACGAAAAAACAAGCTTTAGCCCTTGGATTATTCTAAACGATATCACGTATAGTATATCTTAAATATGCGTTAATTAAAGAATGCGAGAGTGCGAGTGAGTGCGTGCGCTTGTGCTGCGTGATTAACTCGTGCCAAGAGACTAAGAAAGACTTCTTGTACGAGACTGAGTCTATTTATAACAATCTAAATTTCATATTTGCAAGTTAAGTCATTAATATCTGTGTTATGAGCAGCCATAACACAACAATAAGTGCCAGCCAGCCCGAGGGTAAGCGTACTAACCAAGTAAGAGGCAGAGCTTTCATGTTCTTCAGTCCACCAACCTTTTGTTTCCGCTAGATAATACTCAGATACATGGACGGAAAGGTACAGCTCCTTAGGACCATTTTGTTTAAGAAGATATCCTTTATTCAAGCAGTCGCTCCTGAAACACTGTTGCTTATTTGAAAGTAGTTCCTTTCATCTAGAGAGAGAGAGAAAAAAAGCAAACAACCAGTCAAAACAGAGAGACAATATTCAAAAATTGTTGGTAATATGCGATATTACGTGAACAAGAAAAACGTGTTCACAAGCTGTCTATCAAAATTGACTTACAAACGAACTTTTAAAATGTCAAAAATTTGAAGTACGACAATTTGGTTGCCATGACAGCACAGCATCTCGGTTCATGTTTGCCGTGAGCGTTTTGGAGTTAGTTCTGTTCTCCACCCTCCAAGCATTTGGTAATGATAAAAAGGTATATTATAGGTATTATACACCGTGAAAAGATGAAAAAACTTACTGACGTTTCGGACGCTAGTCCTTCGTCCGAGTAAAAGAGCTGGAAGGACTAGCGTCCGAAACGTCAGTAAGTTTTTTTCATCTTTTCACGGTGTATAATTTACCTTTTTATCATTGCGTTTCATTAAAAACACCAACGCAGCTCACACTAGTTTTTAGCTAGATATATCTTCAAGCATTTGGTGCACAATCAAACTGACCAATCAGTGCGCTGTGGTGCTTAGCCAAGCACCCCTAGCTCCCGTGCTCACCTCCCTAGTCTACATCATAGCCGGCATGTTGGTTGACGATAATAAAGCACTTCTAATTAGCTTTTCTTGTTATATCAACCAACATGGCGTCTGTTATTTATATCTCAAGGGATTTTGGGGCATGTGGTTACAACCCAATAAATACTTTGCCGGCCAAAGGAAAGGGGTACATCCTAGAAATCAATGATGAGGGTCAACAGTAATCTACAGTACTGATGCTAGACAGACGTCTTGCATATTACCTGGGATAACTGAACAAGGCAAGCAGGTTTAACTACAATGTAGTCTTACTTTCTAGCATAGTAACATCAGATGTCATGCCATTCAAAGTCTGTACAATCTGTTGGTACTGATCCCCTGCGTCATCATCTGTGGGGTTGCTACCTGATAAATGTGGTGGTGGTGTAGGTAGACGGAACCTTTGTGCCATTCCCATCGGTATGTTTGGACTCATAGATGCTGGTGACACTTGATTGCTGTTATAGTTGCCATATGAATACGCTTGTGACTGGTTGTTTAGCGTAGGAGCACATGTTTGGGAGTTGCTGACAGCAGCCTATACAATCAAGGATTTGAAAGCTTAGTGATAAACGTATATATTTTACAATCATCATTCCCCATACAGGGCTCTTCCGCGAAGTTCGCTCCACACGCACTACCACTACATGTTATATTTACGACATGAAACATTCAAGTCACATTGATTTTTATGAAGAAGGAAAACTGTTGAAAAACCCTTGTCTACAAAGCTTTTCGCTGTTGTATCACAGCGTGAGACAATCACAACAGAGCAAGGCTCCAAATTAAGTGAAAGCCCAAAGATCGAATTACAATTTAGAAGTTGATTTTTGAGGAGGGAGGAAAACCGGAGAACCCGGAGGAAAACCCTCGAAGCACAGGAGAGAACCAACAAACAACTCTACTCACATACGACATCGAGATCGGCAGGACTCAAACTCGGGCCGCATTGGTGAGAGGCGGTGCATTAGCAGCGCACGCCACCAGTGCTTCCCAAATGTGAAGAAAACGGAAGAAAACAACACATCAAACAAACTCGACTCATGTATGATCCAATATGAACCAGGCATCGAAATACAAGCACAGCAGTGAGAAGCTACCCAGTGAGTAGTAAGGGTGGCATATTAATAAATCGTTTGTATTCCAGTGCTGAGGGTTAGTGGTTAGTTTAAATCAAGTTATTTTTGATGTGTTGTTTTTTCCCTTGCCTTGCTTCTTGAGTTTTAAAGATATTAAAGGTTTAAAGATAAGTGCACCATGAGAGCAGGAGAAAAGCATTTAACACATTTCTTTTTACCACTCCTTATGTACCTCTGTACCCCAGGGCCGGGTTGTTCAAAGCTGGATTAGCGCTAATCCAGGATTAACTCTATAGGTCTTATTAAGAGTTAACCCAGGATTAGCACTAATCGGGCTTTGAACAACTGGGCCCAGGTATTAGAAACCCTTTGGGGCCAGCATATGAATACATAGGTACTGAATACAAAAGGCATATCTAGCACTATGAGTATACTTAAATATACAGCATACCTGTATTATTTGTAAAGTAGTTTTTAGTGTAATACCAGAAGTTGGACTTCTACTTGAAGGGCTTGATGGTACTGGTGACTGTCTCGTTGCCGATGACACTACTTGGTCTGTGCTTCCCATATTATTTGAACTAACACTTGCATTGACAGAACTGCCGTGGCTCTGTGCCCTACTTAGTGAAGAGGGTGGTATGACAGCAGAAGGTCCCATACCCATCTGACGAGGGGTTGGTACAGAACTAGAACGAGGTCTGTCCAAGTACTGAATATATTCTGTGGCTAATTGTCCAGTGCGGCTAGGAGCAGAACCTAAAATGATAATGGATTACCTCAGTATGATGTAACTGGAACAAACTATTATACAAGGACCATTCTCTGACGACACTGAGTAGTGTTTAATAAACACGCAGGAGTGTTTTATCAGGATTTAAAAACACGATGCGTAGCTGAGTGCTTTTAGACCTGATAAAACACGATCTGCGAGTTTATTGAACGGCTTAAAAAACTCATGATGTATGTTTTCATATTGTACTGAATTCTTTACAAAATGAACCAAGTTTGATAGAGAAAATCCAAGTTAAAGTTTATGCCAATGAAGATGAATCTATATCAAATATAAAATCACCTTCATGGTCATGATTTCTATTGTGTTTCCTTCATGAATTATTTATGAGTTTTTTAAATACTGAAAACAAATGGTCCAAAAGGTGATACATGAGAAATGACACTGACATCATTTATTTTCTATTCTCATCCAAAATGCCCAAAGAGAGTTTTGATGAAGAAAGTAAGAAATTAGTGGAAACTCTACTCTAGTTTGTGTTATGATATAGTGTATTTCAAACTCACCAACAGTTGGCATTGGTCCTGGAATTCTGAACTGGAAGGCCTGTGCTTGTGTATGCATGTTCCCCATAGGGCCAAGATTCTTCTGTCCAGTCATTGCTTGTAAATAAGCATCACTCATGTTATTGTTAAAATCAGGTGATATCAGGGGTCTTTGCTGACCTTGTTGCTGTTGCTGCTGCTGCTGCTGCTGCTGTTGTGTGTTGTAGCTGTTCATTGATGGAGATTGTGGTTCATTCATACCACAACACTGAATATTCGACTGTTGGCCAATCATTTCATAGGTGCCACAGTTCTGCTCTGGTTTAATCTTTACTGGGAAGGGCATAACTGGAGATTGAACCACACCTACAACAAGAAGGTTATAAGAATACAATACATACAAGTTTCCTAAATTTAATGATAATAATAATAATAACAATAATAATAATGATGATGATGATGATGATGTTTTTAACCTTTCGTTGTTGTTTTTTTCTTCAATTCCTGAATTATTATAATAATTATTATTATAAGTAAACTTTATTCTTAGGAGTTTTTAGGTCTTAGTCTGCTTGGTAGTTGGTTAGTTCCACTCAACTACCTTAAAGCTTAGGTCTGGGCATCCACAAGACAGTATTGTACTGCCATAATAATAATAATAACTTTATTTACCCTGCAGAATGAGTCAGCATACATAAAAATCAAACGCTGGTATGAACTCATGTGCAGCAAATTTGAACCAATAGAATCTATGACTTACTTCCATCCATTTCATTCGGCCAACCACTTGTCTGTGGCGAGAAACCAGAGGGTGAATGCACATATTCTTCATCCCCCAAGTCTTCATCAACCGAAGAAATTGAACTGAGTGTTCTGCTTTTCTTTCTGTAGCGCATCTCAAAAGGGTCTGACCTTTGATGGATGTTCAAAGCTTGTGGGAATCGCTGCTCAAGGCTTGTGTCTGGCATGTAGGGTGGGCTTTCAAAGCCAGATAATACCAGACCTTGATTAGAACCACCATAATTGATAGGAGCTAAAAATAACAAAGATACCAACTAATAAGTCACAGATTGGAAAGGAACCTGCACACAGCCCTGCCATGCAGAAATAGGCCCTAGAATACCGACACTCTAATAAGGCTTTTTTAAAAATATTGACACTCTCCTGGCACAATTATTGATGCTAAATAACTATGACTAATAAACAACATATGAAGATTTTCAGGCAAAGATTCTAGCTTTCCTATGAAACTAAATATTCTGAAGTTCAAATTGATTTACTAGTTTAAAGACTTTAATCTGGTAATCCAATTTTGTGAGGGGTGTATGTAACATCTCCCAATGGTCATGATAAAGGTGCTTGTAAAGAATTGTAAAATTGTAAAAATTGTAAAGAATTCTAAAGAATGATCAAAGATCAAGTCTGTTGTGGCTTATAAGTGACTGATGATGAAATAGCATGTGCAATAAAGCTTCTGGTTTGACTCTTGCTATTCTGATACATTCCTGCATAACTGGATCTCAGAAAACTCTCTAGCTTTGATCTCCAATATCTTAGGGAGTTTTGCTGCTATGCCATTCAGATTTTCTAGATTCATTGATTTATGAGTGCTTTTTCACAAGATGTAGGCTGATTTAATGAAACCAGATCTAGTTACCACATTTTAAAATCTCATAGTTACGAAAGAGGTGTATGCTATGTATAAATATACTCCAAAGCCTAACTTTATTTTGTCCACAAAGCTGGCTTGTTATGCTGAGGTCAGTTGGTTAGTTGAGTGGTTATGCTCTCTTACTTAGAACGCTATACTAAACCTTAAAGACATTCTTTGGTTTTAGCTTTGATGACCTTGTGTCAAACCACATACTTAGGATAACTTTCATTTCAAAATCATGGGAATTATCTAAAGATATTAAGTAACACTTGCGAGAAATACTTAACCATTCCATAGTGTGCATCAAAACTGAGTTTGAGTTCCCTAGATTGTTTATTAGGACACCTTGCATGCTAGGGGTGACATATGAGGGGGTGGGTTAGAGGGTGTGGCCACAGCAGGGGTAGGAAGGGGTAACCAAATGGAGATGAATAACAAAGTGTTTGGCTGAAGACAAAACTGCGATGTGATTATGATCTAAAAACTGTAGGATAGACTAGCAATGGCTTCCCTGCTTATATCACTAATTTGATATTGATTTAACAACACTATTGTTGAGCTGATGCCTAAAGAGCAAGCCCACTTCATGGAACTAAAAAGTAACTAACAAATGTTGAGACTTTCTTATAAGAAAAGGAATATAATTCAAAGATGGAATGTTTGGTTGAGCAATGACTAAAGTATTGGGAAGTGGCTACCACAGCAGGGACAGGAAACAAGGCTATATACCGGTATGTGCCAAATACATGAGGGCAACAGCAGATGGAGTAAAAATGGAAATAACAATGGTTTGCAAAACAGGCCAACTATGCTTATAAGTGAGTAATGTTTGAATAAAATATTACAATAGATGGGAGAAACAATAGATCAGAAAGATGAGAAATATTAATAGGAGAGTAGAAATATAGTAGCAATATCATTTGTAACCTGCAGAATTCCCTACTCACTTTTTGAACACTTGTACAGCTCTGGAACTGTAAAAACACCAGAAAGGACAAGGTTATTCTCCCTTGATACTGGAAAAGAAAAAAAACATATTAGAAGGATTTTCCTTGTAGTAAGCATCATCTGGTCCCTTCCCCTACCACCATGTTATCCCCCCTCCCCTCCCCCCCAAAAAATGCTCCTCCATAGACATGTTTAAAAGATGCTGGATTCAATCTTGAATGCCCAGTAAGCAAGTGTCCATCAAAAAAGTTGATTATCTAAGATAACACTTGTATAGCTAGTTTTGTAGGACAAATGAAGGGAAACTCTAGCTGGCACACATTAAGCAACATGACCCAGCTTATCAAACAAAAAACACTAAATGTTTTGAAAGGTTAAAGAAATTAATAAGCATGAATGAGGACGTGTCATTCAATTCATTAAATTCAAGTGCTATTAATAAACATGAAAAAAACAATATTTGCAATTGTTGTCCTTTTGATGCATCCCTAGTTTTCCATATGGTAAAGTTTAAGAAATGCATTTCTTTTGTTTTGTGAAGTGAATTTGTAGCCTTCTTTCTGGTTTCCACAGGTCTAATGTAGCTATATTATGATCCATGAATTTTGTAGTTTTCTTTTTTTGTCCAAAATATCCTTAGAACGCAAGAAATACCATTTCTGGAAACCAAATGTTTTAGGCAACGTCCCCTGTGATTGGTTAGGTTTAGGGGCGGGGTTATGGAAAGGTCATTGTTTTCTATTGTTCTACACATGTGCCCTCCAATAGGATCATATCTTGCAAATTCGTGAAGGATAACCCAAGAATTTTGCTGTGAGCATGTCCCAGGCCCTCCTCTGGTTTTGTTTTGCATAGTGAGTGGTGAGATTTGTCTAAGGGGGCTTAAATTCATTGTTACATTGGGGAGGAAAGGGGGGGTTGGCAAAAGCACATGGAAAGCTTTACAAACATAACCCACCCCCCCCCCCTCCATGGTAGAGGTAACCATTGCATAACCCCCTCTCTTTTCCATAATCCCTGCAACAGTTCTCAACCCCCTCAATTGTGATAACCCCCCTAGCCACCTTCTTAAAATAATATAACACCCACTACAATTTTGATGACCCCCGCCTCCCCCATGCACTAATAAATGAAAGCTTCCTAAAGCTAAATTTTTCTGTCCCTCTTCCAGAGTAGTGGATCCACCTTTGTATACTAACATATACTATATGAAAAAGGCAAAACTGCAGTAGATAGCAGTTGTTTTGTCTTATTTTAATAGTTATGGTTTCAAAGTGAAGATAGTTCATGACAGGGTTAGTTTCTAGTCTCCATGCTTTTCCTGCGACTAACTGCTTATAATAAGATTAAAACAGAGATACCATTGTTTAAACAGCATTGTGCTCTTAATAAGGATATTTGTGCAGACAGAATGGAAGCATAGTTTGTCATATCTCTATGAGAACAATCTATTTATCCATCAAAAGGAACATACTATTATATGTAGCTAGTGACATAAACAGATAAATTATCTTACAAGTCCATATCATTATATGAATAAAAGGTATACCTTCAATCAAACCTCGACCCTTACCCTTACCCAAGCTACATGAAATATGACTGAGCTTGTTCAGCACATTATAGTAAAGAGGCATTTCTAGTGATTGAGTAACATCTGGAAAACACAAGTCTGTAGTAGCTGTATTAGTCAGGGTTAAAAAGGATCAGCATATTACTAAACATAGCTTTATACTGTGTTGATATCAATGTTCTTTTTTTATTTATCTATAAATAACAAGCTTTATAACAATGAGGAGAGGATGACCTGCTAAGAGAAGTCAAACAACTTCCAGGGTTTGTGGTGTTTTACAAAACCTCATTTACTTGTCGAAACCACAAAATTGAGCAGTTAAATCATGAGCACAGGAAATTCTGTTAGCATAAACAGGCCCTGGGGCATCCTAAACAATCTGTTCTTCATTGTTTATGACAGCTCTTCATGGTAATATTAGTGCTTCTATCAACACCTTCAGACATACTCAATGAAACTGATATACTACAGGCACAACTAAACACTATTTCCTTTGTAAAATTATCATTTCCTAAATATGTATACCATTATTCTTTTAATAGAATTGGAATAGAATTGGAATAGAATAGAAAATAGAGTTGCCTGGTGTGTTTTGCTGCACCATATTGGGAAATTTGAGAAAATACATGTACATGTTTGTACAAAAGGTTTAACAAGACATACTACTATGATCGAGCAAGATAAGCAAGACTGAACTAGAACAATAGCTATTGTGATTGGTGATGAAGACTGATAGCTATTGTTGAACTGACCACTGACAGGCCTAGTCATGTATGTACGAGAACAATAGAATCTGTAATAAGAGGGTTGAGGAATAGACAAACAAGAGCAACAACTTCACAAATGATACAATTGTCCTGGATGTCAATCACCAACTTATTTCACTGGAAAAACACATGATTTAATACCCATTTAAGCTCTTATAAGCTTTTCCATGTACAAAGGCAATAAGATCTACTTTCTTGGGAAGTATAAAGAGGAGATTATGCAGGAGATTAATGCTCTCAACTTGCTGTGCTTCTATGCCTATCAACGCAGAAAACCATACAACGTCAGTGAATGTCATGACCCTTAAGGACACTCAAACATGACTTCAGGGGGAAATTATTATCCCCCAGAATAATAAAGATATCATATACCCAAGTCACGTTAAACATACCTAATAAAACATAATCATTCTGCTTCCTTGTAACCCTTCTACATGGTATCATTCAGAAAATGATTAAATAAGAGTGCAAGCACGTTGGACTTTTTAAATCTAGTTTTTCACCTATCTGTGGAACAGTTTTTCGTTATATCTCGTAGTTGAGGAGTGTAATTCTATCCTAAGTCGTGTTCTGCAGCGCATTCACTCAGTGTCCACGCTTTCCTGTCCTAATACCCTATTTCTGCAGAAATATTCTTTCGCTAGTTTTCATTTCTACCTCTTGGATCGACTATAATACGATGACCAAGTGCACAAGAATTTTTTTCGCAACAGGAGACATCTGACAAAAACAGTGTGTCAAAGTCAAAACGAGAATAATTCTAGAATTTAATTGAAGCGAATATTCGAGCTTCGCTGAATATTAAACTATTGTATCTAAACACATTCATTATTCCTTTGAGGCTAATCGATTTATGAAGTGAAAAGCAACGCAAATTGATTATTTTCCGGCCGAATTTTACAAAGATTTTAATAAGTACGTGAAACTATTTGCTAGAATTTGTCACACAAACCACGTTGTCCTCGATAAAAAAAAAGCATAATTTACGAACATCTAAATGAGGTATTATGATAATAATACGCGTTATTAAAACATTATAATAGCCTGAGTGCTTGACCAAAGTTTCATAACAACCCATAGTTACTATAGCCTCGATGGGCATTTACAGCCAAGATGGAGCTTCACTAAGCGGCCATAACTTTATCTTCACTGGATTATATCATAGTGCTTAAGAGGGCTGTTCGTCACGCAGAATACATACGCCATTGTTCAACAGCTAGTTTAATCCATCAAGATTGATTGACTCAAGAATGATATTCAAGAGAAAACGCAAAAAAATATTTGCGTTAATGTGATAGGGAACTACTTAGTTTATTGTTGCAATGCCAGTTGATGAATTTTGTCATGTATCAATCTGTCTGAGACGAAATAAAAGTTTTATCTCGTTTATCGCCCCCTAGACCGTCCATAAGAAGAGTAACTAGTTGTTATGTCGCAGGACCTCGAAAGGGTCGACGACACGAGCTCACATACTCATCGTCAACTGCCTAAACACACACAAAAACTCGCACAAAACTTTGCAAAACCAAGGTTTTCTCGTAAGGTTTCGGATATTTGGTAAGAGGAATTTCAAAAGTTGTTCATTTTGGGATTTTAGAGGGCTAAAGCTGGCTATAAGTCGCTAAACGCGCCAGGAATATCGGAACAAAAGCATAATGAGTGAGTTAATTCTGTTCAAATGAGTGCACGTGTCTGTGTCAAAACAACAACACGAAACGAGGTAGCCAAGCGAAGTGACAGGATCCGCGTAAATTATCAAGTTTAAATTTCTTTTAAAGCTTATAAACAAAGTAAAAACCAGCTAGAATAAGCTACAATGAAGTATACATTAAATATTGATGCTTACGTTTTTGTATTCGAGCTTGCTGGTCTGCGGGCGAACCGTGGCCACTCCGAGTGTCGGAATCTTCTTTATGCTCTGCGAAAATTACGAAAAAAAGAACAAGATGGTTAATTATCTGGGTAAGCAAATGTTACCAGACAGTATAGCCATCAAATAAGTGTGCAACTGGACTCAAATGAGAACTTAAACGCAGCATAGCAATAAATTTTTAAACAGAAACCCCATCTTCAACTTGTTGATTAGTGTTATGAGCAGGTAAAGTGGCTTAGATAAACAACTTGGAAAATTCTATTACAACTTACTTAATTTATCGTGCTTTATCAAGTTCTTAAAACGACAGCTGGCTTAGTATATTAGATAAATTAAGTGGAAATACCTACCTCTTGTGCACATAAAATTGGTAAGATACAAATCCAGTTCCCTGACTGTGACTGTGATGTGGTTTGGTAAAACACACAACCCTGGATGATGGCAATATTCGGATTTTCCAAGCCGTTCACCATCAGTACTCTCTAAAGGAATTCCCCGGAATAAAATCACCATTACTAAGTCCAACCTCCAGACTTTGTCTGCCTGGCGAAGGCAATCGATTCGACGCATTTTGCCTTTCTGGTCATGTTTTGAAATGACACAACGACAGCTCGAGCCGGGCTTCGCTCCGGCGATCGCAGTGACAAACTCTTCTCTACACTCATCATTTATATCTTTTCTTAGTTTACCAAGTAACCTAGAGGCCCATTTAGTTTTAATTTCAGGAGCTTCAGCATCCAATTCCTCTTTACATCTCTTTTCCTCAGCCGGTGTCATTCGAACTTCGTGTTTCTTGTAATGCTTTCGCTTTCTTGCTTGCAAATTAAACCAGGTATAAGCAAAGGCCTTAACATGGGGAAGCAGAGCTTCAATGAACGAATGGATCTCATCCTGTTGATCAAAAACACCGGGATTAGCCATTTCGAAATAGTCGGCAGTGGGGGTATGATCAGCGCTAAGCACCATCGCGCTAACTGTTACGCGCTCAGAAGCTGTCCTAATTCTGAACCATTTCGATCCGTGCACTACATGCGAACTTTTTTTTCTATGTGTAATCGACGCAGTATGTTTACTTCTTACGGACTGTCACTACACACATTAGTTCTAGACTAACTGTCACCGATCCACCAATCATAGCACACTATTTGACATATAGGGATGTCAAATATACTGTCATGTGCCGTGGAGGGCTGGAACTAACGCTGAGATCTCATTTTGGTCAAGTTGAACAACAGGGTTTAGCAAAGGACTATCGTAGTTTTTAATTTCTCCCACGCCTAGCTTATGAACTTACAGGAAACCACAGTTGACACTTGGGGAGTGCTATGAAGAAGCGATAGGACGATGGAATTCAAAATGAAAGTCCACTGGACACTTCAGCTTATTTACTGAATTAATTCAGATACTCATGAATTATGCTAATCTTCTCCATTTCAGAGAAACTTTTTTCCCGTGTTTATTCGACAACAATAGTCTAAGCCTTCATACAGACCATTACAAGGATTTAACCGGAAGTCAAAAACCACACTTCCTTTTGCTTCGGTGAAAAAGCGCGATTTGTTTTTCAAGATAAACATCTTCACGAAGCGGCGCCGAATTGTCGAGGAGCACTCGATAAATGTAAAGGATACAAAGAACGAAATCAATTACACAAACAAAATCCTTAACTTATTAAATGTAGGATGGATCATGGGGATGGAGTAATTTATCTAGCGAATCGTTGCTAGCTAACAATGATATATGGATGAGCGGCTCACAGCTTGAATTTTACGGACGAGCGCAGCGGACGACACATTAATGCACGTAACTCTCAGTTATCCAGGGGCTAAATATCATGTGAAGAAGAAGAAATGAGGTCGGAAGGGAGTTTGACAAACGAGTCGTGCCGAAACAATTACTTTCAAACGGGAGTTGTGAAAAGTGAATAAAGTGTTGAGAGAATGGGATGACTTTTTTTTCATCGCTTTCAATTAAAACAATAATCAAATTTAAGTTTGAAAGGCATAGGAAAACGAAAAAAAGTTCCATAACAACTAAAGGAGCGAGATAGGCAGTAGACTTCATAATGGACGACAATTTCGTGAATAGCAGCGTTGCAGCAAAAACAACAATGACCCCGATAACAACAAATGAAAAGCAATTAAAAAAATAATGTTGAAATGTTGGCCTCTTTAACAGCCTAGTTGACCCTCGTTCAAGCTCGAGTGTATTTTAGTTTAGATTTACAGGAAATGCACAACTGATGTATCTGTCTTGTGACTCGAAGGAGTGGTAGACACGGCTAAAGTCACACCTTGCAAATGACATAAGGTCGCTACTATCGCATCATGTGAACCCAAATGGACCAATCACGAAGCGAGGTTAGCGCGCCACCAGTTAAGCATCGACGGAACAACAGGAAGCTTTGCTGAGTATTACAGCATTAAAGACCAAATATGGAAAACTGAGCGCGTGGACAATAAAAAGATAGTTGGCTTGTGACTTGCGAACAAAATGCTGTTCCTAAATAAGGATACATCGGGGAATAATTCTTTAATATGGTATCTCTTACATACAAATAGGAAATCATGATTACTTCCTACCGGCATATAAAGTAATACAGCATATGACTTTATACTTAGCACAAATATTTTGTTACGCAAAACTGTTGAATCTGAATATTGACGGGTGTAAAAGTGCGAATAACATTTTCCCCCCTAACAGAATAGAAGTATTTTCACACCTACCAAGATAGCACTATATTATATTGTCACTAAACTAAAATTTATAATGAGTTAATGATTGCATTATTAATAAGCCTCTTATCGTGAATACCATTATGGAGAAAACTAATAATATCGAAGGTTATCGAAAGGCGTGGACAGCAACTGGTTGGATTTGACTAAATATGGTAATCATCAATGCAATGTTGCTAACATTATTGATTTGTTGATTGAAAACTTAATTATAAGTTTATCATCATCATCACCATCTTCATCCTCAATATCGTCATTCTCAATATCCTCATCATCCTCTTCTTCCTCAATATCATCATTCTCAATATCATCATTATCATCATCCTCATCCTCAATATCATCATCATCTTCATCATCCTCATCCTCAATATCATCATCATCTTCATCATCCTCCATATCGTCATCCTCAATATCATCATCATCCTCTTCTTCCTCAATATCATCATTCTCAATATCATTCTCAATATCATCATTATCTTTATCATCTTCATCATCATCATAACTATAGTCATGTATACAAGCACAGTTCCTATTGTGCTCATACTTATTGTCTTGCGAATCCAAGTCGAAGGTCATATCATCATGAGCATCATAATTACCTAGAACATATCGTTTAGCTTTTCTACCGGTTAGGACTTGTCATTAAAATAATGAATGGTTCGGGAACGTGCATGATATGAATTTACAAGAGGTCAAACCATCAGTAACTACTGCTAGTAAACAGAGATCTACTGAATATCAAATCTACTTTCTACTCATAAATCGAAATCAAACAAAACAAGGCCTTTGTGGTCATTAAGCTGCTTTATACAAGATAGTAATCTATCTGTTAGTTAAAAAACTGAGTCTTGTAAACATCATGTTGTGAGTCAGTCTTCAGAAATGTCTATTGTTCATGTGTTTGATGACAACCACACCTGCTTTCCATGCTGTACACTTCTCTACATTGTCATTACGTACAACTCGTTTGAAAATTCCGAGGGTCAACAGTTAGATGCAAGAAATGAGAGTTAACATCTAGTCTTGATAGCCTCGGTAAAAGTGTGTCGCCTACATCGAAGAATGCTAACCGCGGTATTTTCGCGTCGAATTCTTTGCATTCATCATATAGTGTGCTAAACTAAGTGTTCCCCTTGTGTTTCGATTCAGTGCACGTGTGTGATCCTATTCAAGAAAGTCTGTAACGGTCCTTGTATTTGTTCGAAACAACTCAAGCACGAATCTAGGATTATTGAAGTAAGAAGTCACATGAGAGAGAGACCTAACACGAGATCAAAACAGGCGGACTAGTCACGTGACGAAACGAGTATTAATGAAGGGTTATGTGATAGAATTAAGACGTACTATTGAAGCACGTACAAAACAAGTGTGACAGCACAATAGCTTTACGAGAAACTTTTTACTGTAGGGATAACAACCCATTCTCACCCCCCCCCCCCCCCTTAATACCGGTGTTGTGCTCAATTGTTTGGGATGATAAACAATAAGCGAAAACACAATAGAGCATACGTGATGCTCACATATGCAAATACCTTTGTGGTAAGTGCACATTTTACCGACTATTAATGGCTAAATCAAACTAAACCTATTATAGTATAACAAGCTGCTCTCAAGCCCTTTACAAAGTATGCATATTACATAATGTGGAAAACTAGTGAAAACTAGTGTAAACTGCGTCGGTGTTTTCAGTAAAACAGTTGATAGATAGATAATTTGTAACACCGAATGGTATGTAAAAATGAAACTGACGTTTCGGACGTTAGTCCTTCATCGGAGTAAACGAGAGATGAATGTGATGAATATTACATAATGGTTTATGGTATGATTGTGAACCTCACGCGGCACCAATATTAACAGGAACCTGAATAGGCTTTCCCGCGTAGCCTCGCATTCAAGTGGTTCAGGTCGAGGTTATACAGCCTTAAACAAAGTTTTTATTCTGGTCGAAATAAAAATTGGGACGAGTTATTAAACTACATGGCTAATAGATCTCTTGCAGCACGTTGGAAAGCAGCTGCATTTGGATGAGATAATCGCTTTCCACTTCTCAGGAGATTGAAATTCCTTTTTTTTTTTTTTTTTGTCCTCCTAACTTGAGCTGCTTTAACTTCATATGCAAGAAGTCAATTAAGTTAAGTTAAGTTAATTCAAGGAAATGTAACGAAGTAAGAAAAACGAAAAAAATGATTGAACGATCGAAACATCAAGTCTGAAGACGTGACAACACAAGGGAGCATGTAAATAGCCGCCCCCTTATAGAAATGACGAAAATAAAAAGAATACCATTGGCTTTGGCTCCCTCGGCAATGAATAACAACCCAAGCCTTAAGTTACAAACCATCTGGACTGATGTAACAGTGAACAAGTACATGTTAATATGCGTTAAGATTAAGATAAGACATAAGGTTGTTTCTGTAAATAAAAATAACTCGAGTTTGGAAATAGTTTGCGAAACAGTCAGACGCAGTATTATCAGATTGATTAATAGTTTATCGTAAGCTATTGAAACGAGTTTTCTTGCATGCATTCTGAAGCGGAAGGCTACGTTATGAAGTGGTCGTTTAAGGGTGAGATGAAAGTGATACGTGTTGGGACAAATAACCCAATTAAACTAGCTTAAAATACACGTATTTAGACATAACTACTGACATCAAATATGATTCGAATCAAAACAATAGGAGGAATTGGCCAGAAAGTGATAGAGAAAGAGAAAAATAAATAAAATAAACAACACCAGTGATTAGTGACCTAATAATGGGTTTCTATGATTGGCTTTTGATGCTTTACTCCAGTAGTAAAGAATACTGAACACCATGAATATCGATCTAAATACCGGCATCCTCAGTACGAGGCGAGAGTGTGATGGTAATAAGGGCTATTTACCTATAGTATCTATTTATTTATTTATTCATTCATTTATTATTTACGTATTTTTATCCGTGAAATTGATCCAAGAAGTTGTCGGAACATGGAAGGTATTAGCACAACAGAGCTGAGTTCAAATTACCCGCATCCTTAAAACATGTTGGGGAAAAACGACTAACTAATAAATTAAGTTAATCGATCGAATAGTTAATTAAACCACTTGAATACTACAAGCATAATGCATGCTTAATATATCTACGAGTATAGAAGAACTAGAGATCTTGGTTACAGTTTAATTATTGGTATTAGAGTACTCCACGATAGCTTTGCGGTAAATATTTTTTTTACTGGTCTAAAGGGTTTACACTATCCGTTTGTTTAGAATTCCTGTTTTTTTTTAGATATTGGAGATATTTCATTGCAACTTCCATAGTGGGATTAAAATATAATCTTCAACATAAAATGGCCATAAAAACGATCTTGTTAATAATCCTAATTCTAACCAAAAGGAACAAAGACAGCATCTCAATTATGGGATCGTGCATTTTTAATCTGGAAGGGAAAAGGGGGCGGGGCGTACGAATCGCTTGGTTAC